TCCTCGGCTGGAAGCACGAGGGCTTTTGTGTAAAGAGTGTGTGTGTGTGTGTGTGTGTGTGTGTGTGTGCGTTAGAACACAGTTTACAAAGTCTACACACTCAGAGTCCTGATGCACTCACCCGGTCTTCAGCTGGAAAAAAGGCCTCCTCCGTCAGAGCCGCCTCAGAAACATCCGACGGGGCTTTTGGTCTGAGACAGAAAGAAAAAGCCTTTGAGTTCGATGGAGTTTGCGTGCAGAGATGCTAACGAGCTAATGAGCTAACCCGCTACACGTCGACTTAACAGGAGAAAATGAGTCCGAGTCACCGGAACGCACCTCATCGTTACACCTCGATTCTACTTCCTGAGGGAATACGGAAGCACTTGTTTTGTTGAATGGATCGTCATATTAATCACATGTGATCTGAATGATTAATGCGTTTACCTTTTGATGTAAACCTCTTATGTAATATAGTCAAATTGTGTGGTGGGAGCCGTGCTTTTTATATCATTAAAACTAAATTAAATGATCTTTTGTTAACCTCCGTAGTTTAATGAGACAGTTGTGGTCCAAGAGGACTCATCCAGCGCTAACATCCGTCTGCCCGACGGAGTCATTTCAAACCATCCGGACGGGAACGTCAACGGCTGCGCCGAAGCAGTCGGTCGGGACCAAGATGGCCGACCGACATCGCGTTATTCAGAGAAAAGCTAAAGCCTCGTCGGCCCTTTCAGGGGCTTTGTGCACTCGTGTGTGTCCCACAAAGCTGGAAGCAAAACGCCATTCTCCTATCGACTTCCAGCAAACGACGTACATCGATTCGCTTCCTCTGCTCAGCTCCTTTTTCTTTTTCCAGTTAGTCGGTGAACTTTTAAAAAAGTCCATCTGATCTCCCCCGGTGCTCTGATACAACGGGACGCCTCCATCACCAGCAGCTCCAACAGGAAGCAAAGGGGCAGGACGGACCTGTGGGCGCAACGTCCCATTCACACGGGTGGAGGACGGGGCAGAAGGAACAGGACGGGGTTTGTAGCGTTGCGGTGGACAAAGTGGACAAAGTGGAGGAGGGAGACGTGAACACGGGGAGGAGACAAAGACGCTGGTGGGCTTTTGTGATGTGATGCGCTGCAGCGTGAGATGGGAAGAAGGATGAACTGTAACCGAGAGCAGAGAGACGGAGACGAGATGGAGCGGCTGAAAAACAGATGGGACCCACACGCGCACACGCACACACACACACACACACACACACACACACGCCATGCATGCCTTTACTACACACAAATAGGAAATACGAACACTGTTGGATCAAAGGGGCAGCTTCTCCTTTCTTGTTTTACAAAAGATTTGTATTAATGCAAAAATAAATTCTACACGCGCACAAACGCACACATGCACGCACACACACACACACACACACACACACACACACACACACACACCAATGCAAACACTTTATTCCGCTCAAGTAGCGTTCTGCTGATTGCATGCTCTCCCCGCGGGGATTTCTACTCTCTAAATATAGTTTTTGCACGATCAATATTATTTCCACACACACAGACACACACACACACACACACACAGTGCTGCTTTATCAGTTCTCACATCCCACTTAGCCGAAGAAGATCAGCGTTTCCTGAAGCCAAATTCACGCTAACATCCGAGATCAGTGGAAGTTTTCGAGCCGCTTCATTCGATCGACTTGAGGAAATCTGCTTTACGTGCTGTGTAGTTCTAATTAAAACGCTGACACGACACGATTTCAACTGATCATCAGATGTTTCAGCAAAGTCGAATCCCACCGAGCGCTCGGAGCCGTTTGAGCGATGTCATCGGATGCCGAGGTTTCAGACGCTTCGGGGGGGGGGGGGGGGGGGCTGCCTAAGGAGGCCTCCCGGATGAGCCCATGAGAAGGTCACACTGAGCCCAGGTAGGGGGGTGAGCTCCTGTGAGGGTCGATGGAGCTCGGTTGTTAGGGTGTGACGGGCCATCCTTCTGCCTGGATTTGAACAATTATACGTAATAATGCGCCATATTCTTCAGCGCTGATCACAATGCAAGAAAGTGGGGGAGGGAGAAAACTTCGACGAAAGGCTGCTGCTTATCAGCTGAGAAAATGATAGTTTACGCTCACGGGAACGATTTTGACATTCTCACAATCAACGGCACAAACAGCTCGCAGATCTTCTGCCGCTTTGAGCACCGTCTCGTCACACTGGCTTTCTGGTTGCGGAATGGCACGCGGCCCGAGTGTGACAGACACTTCCCGTCTCGTCTTCATCAGAGACCCCCCCCTCTCATCCTCATCTCTATCTCTTCTCTCTCTCGGCCCTCCTCGCCGTCGCTCCATTGTTCCTCCATTAAAACCCACGGCGACCCGCATAACTGCCTCCAATGACTCGGCCCTAATGAAAAAAACACATCGCATTAGCGGCGTCACGCCGAGCCCCCCCCCCCCGGCCTCGGGACCAAAGCACATAAGATTCCCTGTCAGTGTCGGGGGGAGTCGGATAACCCTCTGGGACCCGGTTCCAGACCCTGACCCGGCCCGCGTGAGGCTCGCCGTCTGCGTTCAAGTCAAACGGCGTCCACCGACACGTGGATGTGTGACGCCTGGAGCAGCAGAGCGCGTGCCGGGCGATTGTCGAGAGAGCGAGGAAAGGCTGATGCATTGATGTGTTCAAAGGCTCTAACACACACAATCACACACAACTTGGCGTCTAAAAGGCCGGCGTTGAACGTCATGAATGAAGAGAGAGAGCAGGACGAGCATCAAAAGGAGGGAAAAAACAACCCCCGAGCTGGAGTCGGATGCGAGGGAGACGAGCTGAATGAGCCCAGCCGGCGGAACGCAGCATCTGCATCACAAAGCGACTTTCCAACGTCGGCGGCGCTTCAACGGCCCTCCGGTGCTCATGAGGTTTGGCTCGAAGGCGTGGCGCGGAGCCGAAATACACGCTCCACGGCGATCCCTCCGCCGCCGCGTGCACAACACCACGTGGTCACCAGGCAGAATGCGCTTCACGGGATCGCAGGGTCGCCGCGGTGCAACGAGAAGGAGAGGAAGGTCACGCAGGGAATGAAGAGAGCAGTTTTAGGAATGAAGCGAGACTTTTCTAATCCATCTGTCCACACGGCAGAGTCACTCAAGTCCCACTTTTGAGTTCCAGTTTTTTCCATTTCAGGTAAAAAGGAGCCCATCTTCTTCCCGCCCCTCGGTTCCCTCCATGAGTTCCTTAATTAGCAGCGCGTCCGTCTCT